GGTAATTATTATGAAACCGTGTTGAGATATTGTTTGATTTTAGGAGTTAAAATCAATTTAAGGTCATTATATTGTAAGTTGATTAATTCGTTCTTCGAACACTATGTAAATACTAACTTTCCATTTCGTTAAATCTTTGGATTTTAGCTTTTGCATATATCATTATTAAATTATCAAAATATTCAAAAGTCAGTATTAAATTATTAACTATTGAAAGTTATAATATTCAGAAAAGATTGCTTTATTATTTGTATTCGTGTATTCTATGTTCTTGTTCCAATTTCCAATTTGAAATAACGGATAAAAAAATCAACATCGCTGTTTAACCAATGAATATATTGTACTCGATGGACAACCAAACCCGTTAAGCCGTAACCACGGTGTAAGACCATCGAAGAAGACTTCCTTCTAGTACACCGTGATTGTATCCAGGGAGGTTCAATTCTTAGTAAATTTTTGAGGCACTGTTTTGACTGCCATCTGAACTATCTGCAAACTTGGACGAACTAAAATTCAATATGGCGACTTAGAAGCGGTAATTCAAATTCTGGATTCTAGAGCCAGAATGTATTAAGTACATTTTCTTTTTTTAAATGTATAATTTTGTAAACATGTACTTAATACATTATAACACAGGGGAAAGGAAAATGATCAAAGTTAATAACTAATATGGGAAAAAGTGTTTCATTTTCTATTTTATAGTGGTATACAATAAAAAATTCATTTCTAATGAAGTATATACGTACACGTGATTATTAAATTGATTTATACGGTCCGATGTCTTTGCTACTCCTGGCATAGGATGGATTAATCTAAAAAAGAATCTAAAAAATAAAAATATATCTATATTGAATACTATTATAAAGATATAAGGGACTATATGAAATAAAAATAAGTGTGGCTAACTGTTTATGTCCAGTATATCGCTCGCGGTCAGCTTGGCTTCGCTCAGAATGGCGGGAATGACGTTGCGTTGGCACATGGTCTACCACAGTCTACCAAATGCGCATGCGGGTGGACAGCCATATTGAATTTTAGTTCGTCCAAGTTTGCAGCTAGCTCAGATGGCAGTCGAAAAAGTACCCCTAATTTTCCCTACAGGGTTTCCTGGTCGCAACGTAACCATTAAGACCTTAGATTATATATACTACTAGACATGGCATGTGTATCTTAGATCTTACAATTAGACCATCTATACTACTAGACACGGCATGTGTACAGTGCGTGTATAGAAGAGCCAAGAGTTCAGCGAAGCAAAGATAACTCACTGAAGATAGTTCACTGTGACGTGGCATGGAATAAAAAGATGATCATTCAAAATGGCTGGCATGGCATCGAACTTCAAACTCACTTAGATATTATCCACTCATACTCACTATCGATCACCGCGTTGTGTAATTTTGAAGATTTTTGAAAAGAATGGTGTGTGCGTGTCATTTCAAAGGTTGCAAAGAGAATCAAAATAATGGTGAGAATCTATCTTTCTCATACATGCCCCATGCATATTTCATATTAAACATTAATTAAAATTAAACATTTCCGAATATTTATTAATGTCGAATATTAAAACAATTCAACACGTTTGGAACATTGGTGTGTCATTCTTTCGAAATTGCAGATATATCGTACTAGCGTAGCTTATTATGTACATCTTGTTCACGCGGACGTCATGAGTAGATGATTTTGTCTTTGCTTCAGACGAACTATCTGAAGTCATGTCTATAAGCAGAGCATGGCAAAGTCATGTCTTTTAGGTCTGGAGCACTTTATGGAGTAAGTGAGAGTGAGGGAGCAAGATTGGGAAATAGTAAGAGCGAGTAGGGAATAGGGTCGTTCTCACTCTCGCTACTTCCCAATCTCGCTCCCTCATTCTCGCTTATTTCACGAAGTGCTCAAGCCTGGAAGCCTGGAAGGTCTGTTTATAGGTTATGTACAATATGGTCTAAGAGCCCCACTGAGGACGAGGAGTCCTCTGGCGGGCATACGACCAAATGCTTTCCTTCTCTCCCCTTTCCCCCAGTCTCTTCTTTATCGACAGCAACCGGCTTCATTAATTTATGGCCAAAAATATCCTATTCTACCGAACAAAGCACTTATTTATAAAGTGCTCGTACAAAGTTACTGGGTTACTTAGTGTTCCAAGTCATTTGAATCGTCCATTCCCGTTATGATCCTGACAGCGTTTATCCGAATGTCACGTATCATGTCAATTAAGACCTCCGGTTCCCTTCTCGTTTTGATGTATTTACTATATATGTCTCTTCTGTTTTCCTGAAATACAAAAATGCTCCCCTTTAAACACTATTCAAAATAGTTTTCGGTGCAATCGAATTTCCGTAATATCCGGTACAACACGGAGAAAATCTTTTACGCTTTATAAATCATAAAAATGTTGAACATTAAGAATGTAGTTTCATCCCCTAAACGGCTGCGTGACGCGCATTAGTTCCCGCTGGCAAAGTTCACCTTGAGACATTTACCTTCTAATATTCTCCGCAATCTCTTCAGCTTTTGCATCATTATCTCATTGTTTCCAGCCAACTTACTACTGATCTCTTGTATGCTGCGGACCTTTCCAGTAGGGTGGCAGACGTAGCGTCGTATGCATTTGCAATCAGATACATCTCAACCACCCTAAAGATCTTTATCGTATGTAAAGTATGCTCAGCCGAGTAATTTCTTCGGTTAAATAATTAATCTCGGAGCATAGAGTTGTGACCATTTGAATGAGTTCCTCGAGATTCTTTGCCTAGTCCTTCGTACGTGATATGTATATCGTATACTTGAACCCAGCGTAGTTCTGCGGTGATTATTCAAAAATTATCATTGTATGGTCTATAGAAAACTATAAATTTACTCACCCCTTTAACACGTTGTATGCCACGCCGGTTTTTTACAGAAATTGTCCGTGGCGCCACGATGAATTTTCTTTTATGTGATACATATAATGTTGAAATATTATCCGCAATAAATAAGTTACAGTGTATAACCATGTTTGACATGTTAATTGCGACAGGGGCCACTGTTTGAAACGACGATGGTAATAATACAAAATTTTAGATATTAACATTTGTTTGAAATTATATATATTTCTATCAATTTGGGCGCGCCGATCACCGGTGGCCCCCATGGCGTCACCGCCAAGTTAAGTGCCGGTCACCGATGACCCCCGTGGCATTCAACGTGTTAATAAGTATCTACTATCTTCCTCATCAATCAGGTGCAGAAAGAAATAATTACAAGTAGAGAAATTGTAGGTGCAACTCATCGTAGAACGCCAGCTACAGCTCGTCAGGTGCAAGGAGCACAGAATCCGGGGAACGTTCCTCTAAAATTCCTTAAAATAAATTATTCCCATTGCTATCGATCGCATCAAACGAACTTGATTTCCGCGACAATGTTTCTTGGAATATGTAGTGGCCTTCTTTTCCAGCCTCTTTTCTGAACTTTCGCTTGCTTACTTTTACTTACTTTCGACGCGTTCAATATCGCAAAACGTTTATATAGGGAAATGGAGAAGCAACGCAAAATGATTGACAAAATCGTGCGGTTATAGTAACAAAGAGAATAATTGTACGTCGGAATATCACTGGAAATAAATATTAATAAAACCTATTGAAATTATTAAGGAGGTACGCGCATGATTAAGTTTGATTATGCTCGG